CCCCCATTTTTGTCATCCCCCCAAAGTATTTCCTATCAGAAGAAGGAAACTGACGCCACCACTGCACTAAGAGCACACATGCCCTGCACCACCCTGAGAAAATACCTTAATCCTGATTTTATTTTATTCAAGACTCCCCGTACCCTGCTCTGCTCCCCCTTTCTTCCTGCCCAGAGCAGCCCTGTGGTCTGCCTGCCCCTCAGAGCTGGCACATCACGCTGTGCTGGGCCTCGGTGGTAACAGCCTCTCCTCCTTGCCTGCTCTCCAGCAGCCACTACGAGCTGCCAAAGGGAGGAGGCTGGTAGCAGGGGCCATTCAGCGACCACGGAGAGGCAACAAGACGCTGCCTTGCAGCCACCACTGCCATCGCTGCTGCTCAGGAGAAGTTCTGGCTCATCGTCTTCTCCGAGCTCAGCGCTGGCAGGGAAAAGAGGGACAATCCAGAATCAAATCAGAAGCTGGGATGGCTTTCGTAGCCCTGGGACTGTCCTTGGAAGATAGAGACACTTTCCTCCTGGGAAGAAATGCTGAACTAGGAATGCAATAAATAAATGAACAAGCATACTTTCAAACACAGAGCACCTGCCCACAATATGCATTTTTATATTACATGTTCACCCCCCAAGATTATTCAGCCACATCCTGCCTCTTCATGGCTTTTAAATGTGCCCTATCACAATTCCTTAGGGAATTTCAGTTTGTAGATCAGATAATCAGAGAACTGTAAAAACGAGAGGGACTCAAAGGGTCATCTGGCCCAACACCCTCCAATGTTGGAATCGTGTCTCAAGAATCCCTGAGAATGTTGGGTGTCAGGCTGGTCCATAAGCTTTAAAATTAAATCGGAAAGCGATGTTTCCTGTTTCATTTACACAAACGCTGGTTTGGAATGTGGGCCATGTGTTTAAAAATAACTGTCCTCCTTGTCTGAAGGAAGGAGAGAGAGAGAGAAAACACAGTTAGCTCTGTTTCATGGATGACACGTTCTGTTTCCCAGCACTCCTCAACTCACACCAAGTAATTGTATGTGCGCAAACGGGTTTGCTGGATGAAGGCATGTTTGTTCATGCACAAGGATGCTTGTTCATATATGAAAATTCCCAATCGCTCACTGTAAACTCATCTGAATGGAAGTACAGGCACCACTAGAATCCCCACCTGCAAATGGAAAAAAATACATTGCTGCCTCCAGCTGTAGAGACAGAACACAGCCATCATGGCTAGCAGCCATTAAAAGCCCTCTCCTCCTCCATGAATTTGTCCAATTCTCTTTAACAGACATCTAGATCAGCGGTAATCACTGCCTCCTGCGGGAGTGAGTTCCACAGGTAAACTCTGTATTGTGTCAAGAAGTCATTCCTTCTATTCACCCTGAACCTTCCAACATTCAGCTTAATTGAATTTCCACCAGTCCCACCAGTATTATGAGAGAGGGAGAAATAACAGATGTGATTTAGCTAAATGCACTTCATTGTTATTGACTGATAGTGCTATATTATAGAATTTAATATGTATATAAATATTAATAAAATACATATGTTCCAATGATACAAAATTGCACCATAACGAACATGTGTTCTCAAGTCAAGGTATCAGGAAACTCGGGACACTATTTGCTGCTTTGGAATTGATCTGTGCCTGCCTCAGACCACCCATTTGTTCCTGATCCTGCTGGGTCCTTGTTCCTCTATCCATGTGAACCTTCCTCATAAACTCCTCTAGTGGCTCTTCTGTATTGCAGGAGGTTGGACTACATGACCCTTGGGGGTCTATTCCAACTCTACAATGCTATGGTTCTATGCAGCCTCTCTCCTGTCCCCCATTGCTGTTATGACAAGCCTAATCACTGTTAAATATTCACAACCGTGAAGGGTGATAAACAACCGTCAGGTTGGAGGAGACACCAGAAGGAACTGAGAAAATGGAATTTTAAAAGTGCTTCAATGACCGTTGTGTCATGGATGACAGTCACCATACATGCATATGTGACAGTTCTTATTTTTTTCCTTTTTAAAAACTTGTTGGACTTCTGCATGAATAACAACAGTGCATTCCCACACACTTGTCATTCCTCACCTGGGTTATTTCACAAGCCTCACAACAACCCTAAGAGGTAGACTAGACAAGGTTCCCCCCCCCCTTCATAAAATGTATACACCTTTGAGTGTAACCTCCCACCCCACACACAGAGAGGAACCCTCACACCTCAGTGTGGTTTACCAAAAAAGAAAAAGAAACCAATAAAATTGCCAATAAGAATTTCAAAACTTTCAAATGATAGATTAAAATCATAGATTAAAAACTCACACCAGCTTTCTAAAAGTTTGGGGAGGCTTGTCTAAACAAAAATGCTTTAACAAGCACCAAAGACAGCACAGCAAAAGCACCTTCCTAATGTCAATTGTCAGGGAGTTCCAAAGTGTAGGTGACACCACACTAGAGTTCTTACAGATGCAGCCTGGAGTGCTGGACTGGGACCTGGGAGAAAATGAGGTTCCAAACCCCCAAGAAGCTTGCTGGGTGTGACCTTGGGGGCCAGTCGCTGCCTCTGCTATGCAAGGTTGATGTAGGGATTAAATGAAGCAGGAATTCATGGCACATGCAGCTTCAGATTCATAGACATATGAATCTAGTTTTTCAGAGGGAGCTATGGTTCCCTGCATTGCAGAGGGTTGGACTAGTTGACCCTTTGGGCTCCTTCCAACTCTACAGTTCTATGATTCATTGGATGTTTTTAAACCAAGGTTGAATGGCCACCTGTCAGGGATTCTCAGGCTGTGTTTCCTGCATTGCAGGGGGTTGGACTAGATGCCCCAACACTACTGAGCTGTGATCCCTCTATTGCAGGCGTTTGGTGTGGCTGACCCTCAGGGGTCCTTTCCAATCCTACAATTCTATGATTCTCCAATTCAGCATTCCCCACTGCTACATTCCATCAATGAATGCTTGTCTCTTTATCCCCACTCCCTAGGGCCTGAAAAGATCCATCTGCAGAGATGTGCCCAGGGTAGCCTCTGGCACCCAATGCCAGGCAAGCAAGCAGACATAATCCTGCTGCCATTCATCCACCTCTGTAGTATTTACATAGTGATTGAAGGGAACATCAGGAGGGCTATTCAACTGCTAATCTCCACATTGCCTTGCATCACATCAGAGGGAGGGAAGCCTTTATTTTTCTGGACTGAGCAGGCTATAATTTCCCCCAGAGGGAAGCAGTTGGAAGCAACATATGAGAAAGTTCTGGGCCAGATGCATGCGATGACTGGTACCGTCCAATTCAACATGGACTTTCTGGATCAACCACTGTCTCTTAGAATAACTGAATTATTTAGTTTTAAGGGACCCATCAGCGTCATCTAGCTCAACCCCCTGCAATGCAGGAAGCACAGCTAAAGAATCCCTGGCAGATGGTCTCCAATGAATGAGAGAATCAGAGAATTGACAAGTTGGAAGGGACCCCCAGCAGAACAATTTTATACAGTCTAATGGGACTTGTGTTTCAAACCATGACCTTCAGGTCTCCTTACCTGCACATACACACATTCAGGGCTGCCGCCTTGCTCCCTGCTATTGAGGTGTGCATGTGTGACATCAGTACGCCCTGCAGTGTGCTGGTGTCATTTGCACACACTGTAGGGCGTGCTGACGTTTTGTGCAGATGCCCCATGGCTTGCACATGCGATGTGGCCGCCATGGAATTTTTACAGGGGGCAGCCCCTTCATTTGAAAAGTTGGGGGGTGCTGCCTCCCCCCTCAGCTCCCCTACTGGGTGCCTATGTGTACAGAAACCACTCTGGTCACCCTGTATAATGACTTCTGCCAGGAGACACAGGAAATACCGGTATGTCCTTGCCAATTCTCCTTGACCTCTCAGAAGCTTTTGAGACCATTGATCATGGCATCCTTCTGGAGCTTCTGTCTGAGTTAGGGGTGGGTGGCACTGGTTTGCGGTGGTTCCAGTCCTACTTGGATAGATATTTCCAGAGGGTAATGCTTGGGGAGTATTATTCAGCCCCCTGGAGCCTTCAATGTGGGATTCCTCAGGGTTCGGTTTTACCCGCTATTCTGTTTAGCACCTACATAAATCCACTGAGTGGGATTATCTGGCAGTTTGAAGAATGTTGCCAGCAATATGCTGATGACACACAGCTCTATTTCTTCTTTACATCTGCAGGGGTGGCAGCTGATGTGCTGGACCACATTCTTGCCTTGGTAATGGACTGGATAAGAGCCAACAAATTGAAACTCAATCCTGGTAAGACAGAGGCACTGTTAGGGGGTGGTTTCCTAGAATGGATGGATGGGAGGTTGCCTCCTCTTGATGGGGTTACACTCCCTCTGAAGGAGTACAGTTTGGAAGTACTTCTGGATCCTTTGGTGTTGCTTTTGTTTTCTTATGTATTTTGTATTCTCATTTTGCATTTTTCTGTTGTGAACTATTCTGGGATGTTTGGGTGAAGAGCAGTATACAAATTTAATAAATGATGATGATGTAGAATTTAACTTACCATTACTGTGCAAGCATCTCTTTGATGGTATTCTTTGCCCTTCTGGTGAGAAACAAATAAAAAGGGGGGGCGAGTTTTTTTTTGTTTTAAATCCTTGACAGATGGCCATTCAAACTCTGTTTAAAAACCTCCAACAGAGGAGAGTCCACCACCTTCCAAAGCCATAGAATCATAGATGTGTAGAGTCGGAGGGGCCCCCAAACATCATCTAGTCCAACCCCCTGCAATGTAGGAATCACAATTCAAGAATATCCGACAGGTGGCCATTCAACTTTAGCTTCAAAACCACCAGTGAATAATAGAATTGTAAGGTTGATAGCAAACACCCTCCAAGGGACACCCAGTATAGGGGTTCCCTATAGTGCAACTCTACAATTCAGTGATGATGATGATGATAAGGAGGCCTCAGGAGGACTCAACCTGTGGCTGTAGGACTGTACGGCAGAGGGCTCGACTAGATGACTCTTGGGGATCACCTCCAATTATTTTCTTTCCTGAGGTAGCTCAGTTGGTAGAGCATGAGATTCTTAATCTCACAGTTTGAGCCCCACATTGGGCAAAATGTTCCTGCATTGCATAGGGTTGGACTAGATGACCCTTTTGGTCCCTTTCCAGCTCTACAAATTCTATGATTCTATAATTCTACAATTTAGTGTTCTGGGTGGCACTCCTAGCTCTTCCCAGCTTCAACATTCCTGAACAGGCGGCTGTAAATAAGCTAGGTTTTCATCTTAATCATTACCTTTCTCCTCTCTTTTTTTTTGGGGGGGGGGGTTCAATTACCATTTTATGAATGGGTGCATTTGAGTAGTTTCCTTTTAAAAAATATAAATAAATAATCCACTTAGCCAGGCTGTTGATGAGGCCAGGTCTGGTGATCTATTCCATCAAGATATATGTATGTTCAGCCTCTCCATTTGAAGTGGGGGGGAATCAGCTTTTTCAAGCATAAAATTTTAATTGGCCTTGTCTAATAAAAGGATAAACAAATATCTATTTAACTTCATTGCTGCAGAAGGTAGACTACCCCCCCCCCCGCCAAAAAAGAAATGCGTTCTTTGGGGTTATATAGTAGAAAAGCTAATTATTTTTAATTGGGTGGATCCAAGGAGAACGGGGCCTCCTCGGATGTCCTGATGGGTGGGAATCTAGTGCTTTGGCCTTTCCCTCACAATGTGCAGGATGATGTCAAGATGGAAATGTTGGAAGTTTGCTGAGAGGGATTTGCATGAGGTTAGGACAGAGTAAACAAGAGGCCTCCAACTTCCTAGACGATCCTTGTCACTTTACCTCTATCCTGACTACTATTTCTCCCCCTTCAATGTTTAGACCATGGGTAGGCAAACTAAGGCCTGGGGGCTGGATCCTGCCCAATCGCCTTCTAAATCTGGCCCGCGGATGGTCCAGGAATCAACATGTTTTTACATGAGTAGAATGTGTGCTTTTATTTAAAATGCATTTCTGGGTTATTTGTGGGGCATAGAAATTCATTCATTCTTTCTTTTTTTTCAAAATATAGTCCACCCCCCCCCCCCACAAGGTCTGAGGGACAGTGGACCGGCCCCCTGCTGAAAAAGTTTTCTGACCTCCTCCTCCTTCTCCTCTTCCTCTCCTCCTCTTCCTCCTCTTCCTACTCCCACTCTATCTCTGGACCTTGAGGCAAGCAGCCATACTGGATCTGTCTTCTGAGAACAAAGCTATCAAGCCTGGCTTCTTCATTTCTCCAACCAGAAATCTAGTGTGTCTGGATTGAGGTTGCCTGGTCAGGGATTCTTTAGCTGGGACTCCTGCTTTGCATGGGGCGGTCTAGATGACACTTGGAGATCCCTTCCATATATTATCATTCTATGATTCAGTAAACTTGGCTCTCCAAGCTTGAAAACTGTAGAAAATCACCCAGCTGTCGGCAGCAAAAAAACAACAAAACCCTCCATTTTATAAGGAAGGAAGGAAAGATAGGATTTTTTGTAATTGCATCACTGCCACTAATAATAACACATTCACAACAGGAGCAGATGTGCCTTTGCATGGGTGATGCCATTTTGGATTTTGCTGATCAGTTCTGCTTGTTGAGCACATTCCTGGGCTGGAGTAAAACTCTGACAGACAGGGTGGAAAATTAATTTTTAATGGCTTTTCTTAGTGCTTTAAGCCATTCTCAGAGGGTAAAGATGATCCTTGTACAGGTGGAGGGGCCCCAGAAGGAGGAGGTAAAGGTCCAGCAGTTGTGTTGGGAGGTGGGGAGCAGCATCCTCCTTTGACCAAACACCAGAACTACTGAAATATACTTGCTGAAAACCATCGCTGATTCCTGCATTTGGTGTGATTCCTGCATTGCAGAGAGTTGTACTATATATCCCCAGAGGTCCCTTTGAAATCCATAATTCTATGATTCTATGTCTTGCCATTGCTGAAAGAAACAACATTGAATTGTGAACCTTTGTGATTTATTTTCGTAACTTAGAAATACAAAATGAGTTTTATTCTGGAAAGCATTTTAATTTTCTTTTCATTATTCATAGAACCATAGAATTGTAGAGTTGGAAGGGTTTACACAAAAGATAAAACAATATAATCCACACTAAGAAAAATTAACAGCAATAGTTTTAAGACATGCAGAATGTTAAAATAACAATAGACTAGAAGCAGATTTAAATTCACACCAGCTTTCTAAATATCTAAGCAATCTTGACTAAACCAAAAGGTTTTTAGCAGAAAAGACAAAAATGAAGGCATATGCCTGATACTCAAGAGGCAGAGAGTTCCAAAGTGTAGCTTTCTCTTTAATCTCTTTTGCAAATCACTTTAAGGGTTGTTGGTTTTTTGCGGGGGGTATAAATGTTATGAAATCCATCAATCCATCAATCAGAAAAAACCCTGCAAAGAAAAAGCCAGAAAGAATGGTGCCTGCATTTCCAAAACAAAAGCCGAGCAAGGCTTTGATTAACATTTCATAGAATTTGTGGCCATGAAGCGTAGCATCCAATTAAAGATTTTCAGTGTGTTAGTCTCCTTGCCCCATCAACCAATTAATTGATTAGGTAATCAATCAACCCTTGGGGTCCCTTCCATTTTGCCCTAAGATTCTATTATTCTGTGTGTGAGAGAGCTGACAAACAACATTGTATTTGAACATCATAGAATTGTAGAGTTGAAAGGGACCCCAAGGCTCATCTAGTCAAACTCTCTTCAATGAGGGAATTGCAATTAAAGCATCCCTGGCAGATAGCCATCCATCCTGCTTGTAGACCTCCAAGGAAGAGGAGCCCACCACCTTCTGAGACGATCAGTTCTACTGTCAAATGGTTCTTCTTCCCAATGTTTAATCACAGAATCATAGTATCATAGAATTGTAGAATTGGAAGGGACCACGGGGGTCATCTAGTCCAGCCCCCTGCAATACAGGAATCTTTTGCCAAACTTGGGGCTTGAACACATGACCTTGAGAGTAAAAGTCTCACTCTCCAACAACTGAGCTATCCCACTCTCCTTTCTTGTCATTAGAACCCATTGGATTCTCCAGAGCAGGAGAAAACAAGTTTGCTCTATCTTAAGGTTACCAGATTTTCCTCAATGAATGGGGGGACACTATAAACAAACAAACAAACAAACAAAAACAAACAAATAAACAAATACTACACTTTCGGGACGTTGGTGCTGCAGCGATGGTGATGGCAGAGGGGTGGCCGCCGCCTTGACCTCAACCGCCACATTTCCCCTTCCTCCAACGCTTCTGTCTCCTTTCTCCATGAGCCTGGGCAGCCCCTGAGTTGTTGGTTCTTCAGTGGTGGCGGTGGTGGTGAAGCGGTGTGTGATGGGTCCGGCATGGAAGGTGGAGAAGAAGGGCCGAGAGCGGTGGCGGTGAGGCTCAGGCAGTGCGATGCCTCCCTTCCCATTGGAGCAGCCCCAATCCCATTCCTACTTGCGTGCAAGCAGGAGGGGCTGGGTAGGGAGGCTTCCCATTGCCTAACTGAGAGCTCCCTGCCCCCTCCTGCTTGCACACAAGCTCTGATAGACAGTGTGAAGCCTCCCTTCACAGCTGAGAGATCCCCGCCCTGCTCCTGCTTGCACGCAAGTAGGAGTTGGGCGGCTGCTCGGATAGGCAGCATGAAGCCTCCCTTCACAGCTTAGTTGCTGGGGTCAGGGAAGGTGGAGGCAGCCCGGAAGCTGCATCTTAGAGCCCCTGCACCACTATCATATGGCAACTTCCAGCGAGGCAAAATGGTGGGTGCCACGGCGGCAAGCAACTCCTGAAGCCAGCCAGAGCCAAGTGCACTACCAGGCTGGCTCCGGGCTGCTGAGGCTGCTGCTGCCATGTTTCTAGGGGACATTAGATGAAATCCGGGACATTCCGGGGATCAAATTTGTCCAGGGACAGATTCGCAAATCCAGGGACTGTCCCCGGGAAACAGGGACATTTGGTAACCCTACTCTATCTTCCATAGGACATTCCTTCAGATATCTGAAGCTGGCTCTCATGTCAAGTCCCAGTTTTGTCTTCTGCAGGCTAAACATCAGGAGACACTACACAGCCTAGAGGGATGTGGTCCCCGACGCTGTGCAGCCTGGTGGGATGTCACCCCAGAAAATGTGGCATCTTGCAATAAGGCATGTCCTGGAGGGAAGTTACCCTGGGCCCCACAGTATTGAGTGAGGCCACACAGAGCAGAGCAGCCTGGTGGGTGAATGTCTCATTGGGAGGAGGCCTGGTCCCTGATGTCCGCCCCCACAATGTCGGGTGCCTTAGGATATTACTTCTCACTTTTACACATTCTGGTCCTAGGGATCTTGGTAACTGGCAGCAAAGAGTTTCATGCAGACTTCCCTGGAACAAAGCAGGGAGGCAAGGCAGGGTTTAATTGGCATGCACTTAATGTGCCATAGATGCTTCGCAAAGCAGATGCTCGCACTCTTTATTCTTCCTGGAAACATGTGTTCGCTATTCCAGGGGATGATAATGTGCTTTGCAAAGGGGGAGATGCATCCCTGGTGTGAAAATGTGGAGTGATATCTTACAATGAGTTATGGGCAATTCCGCCACGGGGGTGTCTTCATGGGGGTGAAGGGAAGGAAGCACATATCCCCGTTGCAATGCTTGTTTTCCTTGCAAAAGGCTTCAGACTGAATCTTCAGCATCCCAGGTAGAACATTAATGGATCAGTGCACTTAAAGCAGGCATGTCCAGCCATAAGTAGCCTGAGATCTACCATCCAATATCAAAAACTGGCAGTGATCTACCACACTCTCCCACTGTCATTCTTCAACTTAAATATATTATATTTGGCTTAGCTTATGATAAAAATAATAACAAATGATAGTCGCTTCCATAAAACCTGCAAAGTTCATTATGAATCAATAAATTTTTAAAAATACATACTTTGTATACTTGTAATAACATAAGAAAATAACCTTGAGGATAGGGTACTACATAATCAGAACATGATGCACGGATTGTTGTTCACAAAAGCTCATGTCATAATAAATGTGTTAAGTCTCTAAAGTACCCCAGGACTCTTGCTGTTTTTCAAATGAGTCAGGGTTCCCCTCATAGTTAGAAACAGAAATTGGGTAAACTGAACTGCAGGGTTGACAGCCTTCAAGCACTAGCTTAAGAAGTGAATGTAGAAGCCTTTTCCCCTAGATCCAACCCGCCCCTTATTTTCCAGTAAACCTAAACCACAGGGCTCTACACACACACACCGCTCCCCTCGTGGAAGGGCAGCAGCCAGGAAGGGTCCCCCACTCCCTCGCGCATGTTTACTCGGAAGTAAGCCTCGTTGCGCTCAGTGAGAGAGCTCATCGCTTTACAGAGAGAGAGAGAGAGAGAGAGAGAGGGAGGGAGGGAGAGGGAGACGCCCTGCAAGCAGCCTCCTCAGAGAAAGGGCTGCTTGGGGAGAGAGAGATTGACAAAGATAGACGAGAAACAATCACATGATCTACAAGTCGATCCAGATCGACCTGTCGGACAAAGCTGACTTAAAAGGGTATTTCAGGTAGCAGGAAAAGAGCAAGACCCAAACAGACAAAGACTGATTGATTGATTGATTGTGGTTCAAAGAAAACCTTTTAGTATTTGGAACTCATATAATTGTAGAGTTGCAATGTAGGAAAGAATCACAACTAAAGAAGCCCTGACAGGTGGCCATCCAAGATGGCTCCCATGTTCCCTCTTAGTCCTCTCTTATGCAGGATAAACATACTGAGTTACCTCAACCATTCCTCATAAGGCTTGATTTCCAGATGCATTCAACATGGGTAGGCAAACTAAGGCCCCGGGGGCCAGATCCGGCCCAATCGCCTTCTAAAGTCCGGGAATCAGCATGTTTTTACATGAGTAGAATGAGTAGTCCTTTTATTTAAAATGCACCTCTGGGTTATTTGTGGGGCCTGCCTGGTGTTTTTACATGAGTAGAATGTGTGCTTTTATTTAAAATAAATCTCTGGGTTATTTGTAGGGCATAGGAATTCGTTCATATTTTTTTCCAAAATATAGTCTGCCCCCCACCCCAGGTCTGAGGGACAGTGGTCTGGCCCCCTGCTGAAAAAGTTTGCTGACCCCTGAACTAGATGCCCCAAATGGAAATCCCAAAGCAGAACCTGAACCCCAGAGCAACATACCCTGCTGTGGTTCCTATAACAGTGTAAGAATAGCCTGCTGGTTAAGGCCATTGGCCCTTCCAGTCCAGCATAAAGTTACCAGATTTTTCCCCCAATGAATCCGGGGACACTTTTCAACTTCCTACTAAATAGATGGATTTTGTCAGGGGACTGATTTGTAAATCTGGGGACTGTCCCCAGTAAACGGGTATGTCTGGTAACCTTAGTCCAGTGTCCTGTTCTCACAGTGGCTGAACTGTTGCCTCTGGAAAACTCACAAGCAGGATTCAAGCACAAGAACTCTCTCTCTCCTTCTTTGATTTCCAGCAACTGCTACTCAGAAGCATTGCTGCTTCCAGCTCTGGAGGCAGAGCTGAGCCACCATGTCTAATAGCCATGGGTAGCCTCCTCCTCCTCCATGAATTTGTCCAATCCTCTTTTATTTTATTTTATTTAATAAATGTTTATTCAAAGTTATAACAAAACATATTTTCCAAAAACATATCCTTATTTTCCCCCATTTTTCCTCCCCCCTCCCCCCTCCCCATAAAACCCATCCCCCCCACCCCACCCCACGACTTCCCTCAGTTCCAGTCTTTGGTTTCTCCAATAAGGCTGTTTTCTGCATGTTACAGAGTTGTATAGATCCTCCAGCTGTTTAGCTAATTATTATCAGTAAAAAAATTGTGAATGTTTATTCAAAACCTGCCAAGGAGTCCAGTTCGCTTTGTTGCGTCTTCAAATACTTTGTGAAAGGTTCCCATTTATCCTTAAAGTCCCAGTTATCCTTGTCCAATCCTCTTTTAAAGCTATGCAAATTGGTGGCCACCATTGCCTCTTGAGGGAGCAATGTCCACATTTGTGTGTTTTTTTAAATGATATTTATTGAAAAAATTTTAGAATTACAAAAAAGAACAAAGCAGAAAAAGACAAAGAAAAAACAGACCACATCAAACAATACAAATTCAAAAAACAAAAATACACCACAAACACTCAAAAACAAATCCATCATTCTCAAATCCTCAACTGTCATTACCTTCTTTCTTTGACCTCCTCCTCCTCCTCCCTTTTTTTGTATCCTAGTTGTTAATTGTCGCAGCAAATCCTTTCCATATTTCATAATATTCTGTCATTACATTACCTTAATCTATTTTAATCTTATCTTACTATAAAAAACCTTAAAGCTTAAAACTTAAATCTTATTTTTCCCAACGTCTCATAACCATAATATTCTTACATAATTCTTTAAACATTTTTGCTAAAGCCAAGTAATTTTGTTCCAACATTTTTCTAACATTCATCAATTTTATAAAGCAATCCTAGCAATAAAAAAAGAAATAAAAACAATCCAGTCTTCATCCAGCGTCCCTTCCTCCTGGTCCCGGGTTTTGTCAGTCCTTTTTTATCCCATCAATCTAGCGCATTAACCTGGTAATCTAGTATCCGAGGCCCTTAAGTCCCTTCCATGTCCCTTCCACGGCTCTTCTTCATATTTATAGCTGTATTTTCCTTTGTCTCCTGCTCCTTTCACCCATGGGAACTCCAGCTTAACAATGTTTTTGACCCTTCTCGACAAATCAGCCCCTTTTCCATAGTCCACACTGAACTCCATGTGGAATTTGAGAACATGTTTCAAAGTCCCTCCAAAATTAAGAGCCCCCACAACCCCAAACATCTCACGGCCCATTGCCAGACTTGAAAAGTCCAAACATCCCTGCATAGGGGGGTCTATCCAACCCCCCATTTCCAAACCAGACCAAACTTTATCTTTCCAAATCTGGCTTTTTCCAAGTTCATTTGTCAAATCCAAAAGCTCATGTTCCTGCTGGGCCACAGCTCCCTCCATCTCTGGTGCCCAAGATTCAGCAACATCCTCTTCCCTCATCTGTTCTGTCAGGGCACACTCCTGATTTAATTCCTGGGTGGGCTCCATATAATTTCCCACTGCCTGTTCAAAATTTCCGATCGCATCAGTCATCAAGTCCGTCTTCTCATGTAGCTGTTCCAGTAGGGCATTTGTTTTACAGAGAGCACACAACAGAGCTTCTGAATACATTGTCCTGCAAGGTCAGAAGTCTTTTCCCACGATTGTAATCTGTAACAGCTGCAAGCTCCCCGAAATTGGTTACAGTTCACAGTCTCCCTCTAGGGGGAAAACTTCTATTTGTTCTTTCTTTTAAAGACAAGTCTAACAACAAAGTTTCCTTTTTCAGATATTTTGTCAATGTTTGTTCCTTTAAAATGTGAAGGGGAACAATGGAATCACTATGTTTCTCTTCTTTTAGCTCTCTGTCAAAAACGTTTGTCTCTGGTCAATGAGCTTCAAAAAACATCAGTCCTGACACCCCGCTCCAGGATCAAGACGGTGGAAAGTTACTTTACTTTACACTCACTTCTGCAGGTTTAAACAGTCTGAAAAAAATCCCCCCTCTTCTCCTGCTTCCGAAGGGGGGTTCAACAATTTTAAATGATGAAAGTTAATCTTTTACAAGCGATTTTCTGAGCTCTAGTTTGCCATGTCTTTGCTTTAATCTATCTACAAAGAAACGGAAGGCTGACTTCCTGTTTAGACCTTCCCGTTTCAGTGCCAAATTGAAGTAAACTTTTAAGTCCAATTTTCCTTTCTGCTCGCAAGTCCTTATTTAAAGTCCAATTGTCCGAAATTTAAGTACTCACGGGTGATTATTTTAGAAGCCAAATTGTCCCAGGAAAAAGGCAGCGCTCTCCGGCAACGGCTGTGCGGCTTCGCTCCACGGAAATAGCAGTTGACTCACAGCACCGCGCCACTTCCCCTCTTCACTTCGGAGCCCGTTAGTGGGTTCCTTTGCGGGTTGGGGGGGCGCTAAGGGTGCCCGCCGAGTCCCATGGTCACAGGCTTCATCCGCCTGTGATTTTTGAAAGGGTCCCCGCTTCGCCGTAGCGGAAAAGACCCGTTTCACGTGGAGCTAGTCCCTCCAGATCAGAGGGAGTCCGCCATTGCCGACGGCGCCACCCCGGAAGAGCAATGTCCACATTTGAACTCTGTGTTGCATGAACTGCTTCCGTTTCCCTGTCCTGAACCCTCCAACATGCTGTGTCCTTGGATGTTCAGGAGCGCTATTGTTAATGCGAGGGAGAAAAGCATTTCTCTACCACCTTCCTTCATGCCATGCATAATTTCACATACCTCTTACTCACCTTTTCTCTACACCATGAAGCTCCCAATGCTACAACCTTTAGATCTAGATTCTTGCATTGCAGGGGTTGTGCTTGATGACCCTTGGGGGTACCCTCCAACTCTGTGAGTTCCCCTAAGGCTGCGCTCCCTTGAACTGGAGCATTCAATGATTTGTAAAGACTCTTCAGGGACCTGGAGAAGGCTGTTCTAGCATAATTGCTTTGGCTGCCCACCACCGACCTTCCGCTCTGTGCCAGGAGACCTCAAGGCTTCACACCAATTAAGCAACAAGAACCAGAATACATGTACGGAATACATTGTTCCTTGCAAAACAGCCAATGTGGTTTCCTGCCTGGTGAATTGAAGGCTTAGGAGGTACACCTTGATGGCTGCCCCACCAAACCCATCACACGAAACCTCTAGAACAGTGGTTCCCAGAGTGGGCACTGCTGCCCCCTGGGGGTGGGAGGGATTACCGGTGGGGGTGCTAGAAGTGGAGATTTAAGACCCCTGCTAGGCGGCTTTAAACCAGACTTTGGGGAACAGGTGGTAACACTTCACCAAGCCCATCCATCGCATGAAGAATGTACCGAACATTGAATTAGTTCCTAAATGTAGAATCTTAAGACTCTTGCTAAATGACAGTCAGATTTTGCAAGGCAGGTATCGCTGGATTGAGTGCATCAATTTTGTTGAATTAATTAAACTACATAGTTTTAATTGGATTCTGAATAAAGGTGCAATTAATCTTTCCTGTTTTGAATTTTATTGTGTTATTATCTTCCTCAGTGGGTCGTGGAACTCGCTATTTTGAATAATGCTTTTTATCGCGTAGGGGACTCGAGGGATGAATTTATGAATTATGGGGTGGGTCTGAGTTTGGGAACTACTGCTCTAGAAGTTGGATATGGTGATTCCTTCACCTCCCCAAGCCAACAAGCCTTGAATCAAAAACTTAAAAGCCCCCCTCCCCTGAACTTGACCCCTATAAAGAAGGTGCTGACAGAATTATCTGGCAGTTTTGACTCAGTAGCCCATTATGTGCCCGGCCACTTCTTGGAAAGCAAAGATACTTTTGCTGAATAGGCCACAGGTTGAGTCTTGCCTTGATTCTTGGACTAGTGACTCTTGGGCTCTTTTCCAACTCTATAATTCTACGATCACCAGGCACTGTGGTTGCCCCCCCCCCCCTCTAAATGCTGTGTCTCTGCTTTCAGTGCTTTCTTTCAACATGCAGGTTAGAAAGCAAGTTAAGATTCTAGCCCTCTCTGCTCCTGTGGTTACCAGCAACTGGGATCTTGAAGCATTGCTGCCTCCAACTGCAGAAGCAGGGGAGAGCCATCATGGCTAGCAGCCATCATTCTCAATGAATTTGTCCAATCCTCTTTTAAAGCGATTCAGGTTGGTGGCCACCACTGCCTCCTTTAGCTCCACAGTTTAACCCTGCACTGTGTGGAGTCTCCCTTTCTTTTAAGAGCCCAGGCCTCCATTTGAACAGGTGGCAGGAATGGTAAACCATTTATGGAAGCTTATCAGATGTGTGGCAAAGCTGTCACTCAGGAAAATCCTCAGAGCTCCCAGTCAATCATAAATATTTGGCATGAAAAGGAACAGCAGGGTGAAGGGGGGATAGATTTAAATGAGAAAGAAAAACAGCTCTGGAGGTTGTTGGGTGGTGTGGGGTTTTTTTTGAAATATATTGTTTTATTTCTTCAACCACCCCAGATATTCAAAAAGGAAAAGGAAATCCAGGCTCATTATATAGAAACATCAAACCAGCTCTGATAATTATCCCTAATTAGTTCTAATTTAGAAGTGAGGTCTCCGTCATCGCTCCATTAAAATATGCCGCAGATAAGAGAATTCATTCACTCAGAGTACAGAATTGTAAAGTTGGAAGGGACACCAAGGGTCATCTAGTCCAACCCCCTGCAAATGCAGGAATCTCAACTAAAGCTTCCCTGACAGATTAGCCATCCAACCTCTGCTAAAAAAAACCCCGGACAGTGAGGGAGTCCATTTCACGGTCCAGCTGCTCTTATTTTCAGAAAGTTCTTCACTAATAGCTGTTCTAGGTTGCATCAACAGAAATCTAATGTCCAGATCGAGGGAAGTAATAGAATCATAGAATTGTAGAGTTGGAAGAGACCCTGAGGATCATCTAGTCCAACCCCTTGCAATTCAGGAATATTCAGCTGTCCCATGCAGTGATCAAACCTGCAACCTTGGTATTAACAGCACCATGCTGTAACCAACAGAACTATTCAGACTTTCATAGTACCACTCTGTTCTGCCTTGATCAGACCACACCTGGAATACTGTGTCCAGTTTTGGGCACCACATTTAAGAAGGATATTGACAAGCTGGAAAGTGTGCAGAGGCGGGCAACCAAGATGATCAAGGGTCTGGGGCAGTGGGCAGTGGGCAGCAAACTTTTTCAGCAGGGGGCCAGTCCACTGTCCCTCAGTCCTGGGGGGGGGGGGAGGCGGACTATATTGGGAGGGGGGGAAATGAACAAATTCCTATGCCCCACAACTAACCCAGAGATGCATTTTAAAGAAAAGGACACATTCTACTCATGTAAAAACATGCTGATTCCTGGACCATCTGCAGGCCAGATTTAGAAGGCGATTGGGCCGGATCCAGTCCCTGGGCCTTAGTTTGCCTACCCATGGTCTGGGGGTAGGACTAGAGCAGGGTCCATTCCATGATTATATGATTTGAAGACTCCTAGATCCTTTTCACATGTCCTACTGGTAAGCCAAGTGCCCCCTTTCTTGTATTTGTCCAGCTGGTTCTTCTTGCCTAAGTGTAGAACCTGACATTTGTCCCTATTGAAATTCATTTTGTTAAGTAAGGAAATCAGCCCTGAGTGCTCACTGGAAGGACAGATCCTGAAGCTGAGGCTCCAATACTTTGAGAAGAGAAGACTCCCTGGAAAAGACCCTGATGTTCGGAAAGATGGAGGGCACAAGGAGAAGGGGACGACAGAGGACGAGATGGTTGGACAGTGTTCTTGAAGCTACTAACATGAGTCTGACCAAACTGCAGGAGGCAGTGGAAGACAGGAGTGCCTGCCGTGCTCTGGTCCATGGGGTCACGAAGAGTCGGACACGACTAAACGACTAAACAACAACAACAAGTTGGGACCCAGTTCTCTAATCTGCTAGAGTCATAATGAATCCTGAATCTTTCTTCTGCGGCATTAGCTAACCCTCCCAGATTATATTATTGCATCAATGACTCCAAATATCTGTAGTGTTGGAGCATAAGAAGAGCCTGCTGGATTAGGCTAAAGGGGGCCCATCTGGTTCAGCACCCTGTTCTCACAGTGGTCAACCAGATACCCACACACCCTCGCTCAAGAGCACTCTCCCTGCCTGTGGCTTCCAGAAAGTGATATTCAGAAGCATTTACTGGGCCATTTTATGTCATGTCCCTGTGGCTGGTTAGCATTGCAAGCTGTCAGAATGCACCACGTTTCAGATTTCATTGCCACACTGGAGATAAATATATTTCTTTATTTACAATAATTATTCCTCTTGGTACAATGTTTTCCTCTTGGATTGTAGGGAGTTGGACTCGATGACCCTTAGGGGTCCTTTCCAAGTGTACATTTCTATGATTTTTTTTCCATGATTCTATGCAAAGAAATTCACTGACTAGAAACAAGAAAGAATGTTAGCTGCCAGAAGATCACTCCGAGAGAAGCTGAGACTCCCAACACTTTGAAGAAGCAAACTACAGGCTTTAGCCTACTTTTGTGCAGCGAATGAAGGATGTAAATGAAATGTTTCTTTTTTGAAAATTTGAGACGTGAAATTATAGCCATCAGGCTGGTGATGCAGAAGAAAAGTGGGGATTTGGGGAGGAGATTCTTTCATGATGCTGACGCTACTAGGAAGTAAACCTTCGCAAAGGGCCTCAGAGGTATAAAAGGTGGACAGGTCTGTTGAATGGGTTGAAAAGGGGGCATTCAATACTGCATCCCACATCCAACAATGAGGGAGAAAATGAATGCCTGGCTTTGATGAAGTGAGGAGTTCTCAGGCCTGTCCCCCAGATTACTAGTATTGTGCGGGTGCTGAATGAGAGACTGAGGAATGCTTGGGTGGAAAAGTAAAGGCAACTGGATGGCACTGTGTCTTAGAATCATGCATGTGTAGAGTTGGAAGGCACCCTAAGGGTCATGTAGTCCAACTCCCTGCAAAGCAGGAATCACGGATAAAGAATCCCTGGCAGGTGGCCATCCAGCCTCAGCTTAAAAACTTCCTAATCACATCTGCATCCAAGGAAGCTGTGCAATTCTTAAGCAAGCCCCTAAGCAGATCTGCACAACTTAGGCCTACTGGTAGCTCTTAGTCAAGATGGTTCTATGGGACCACTCCATCCAGCGAAGGAGGAAGCCTCTCCAGCACCCGGTGTGGGCGAACCAATCAGCGGCGCCCATACAGATGCCGTGCGAGCGGTGCCCATACTGACAGCGCATGCATCCTCGGCTGCTCTACAGCTGGGGGGGGGGAGGCAGTGCATCATCTTGTCACCCTCCCCAGGGTGGCACCTGGGGCGGACCGCCCCCCCTTTGTATACCCCTGACTCCATTTTTATAGGCATTTTCCTGGGCAAGAGGAGAGTGAGATAGGACTGGTGGTCTGATGGCCTGCTTTTAGGCTTCCAAGAGGCATCTGGTTGACCACTGTGAGGAAACTGGACGTTGAGCTAGATGGACCACCTAGTAGGGCCCTTCTCACATCCAACACTTAAAACTCTGGAACTCATTCTCACAGGAGGCAGCAATGGCCTCAAGCTTGGACAGCTTTAAAATAAGATTGGACATATCATAAAAGGCTACTATCCACATTGCTCTGCTCTGTCTTCACAGTCAGAGGTAGCAATGCTTCTGAATTCCAGGATAATGCGTGAGGGGAAAGGGTTCTGGTGCTCGGATCCTGCTTCTGGGTTTCCCAGAAGGGACATCTGGTTAACCATTGTGAGAACAGGATTGTGAGAACAGGATGCTGGACTAGATGTGCCTTTGACCTGATCCAGCAGGCTTTTCTTGTTGGAGAAAAAAGTAAATACATTTCCTTCTCTTGAGTTTGTAGTTAATATATGTGTTACTTTAAACCACACAAGGGCTCTTTGTGTAGCAATCTAGCCAACACTTGTTTGTAAACCTCTATGTTTAAGTTAACCCCACCCCTTAAAAACTGATCCATTTTGTTTGTTGTTCTCTCCCAATTTGTACAGATAATATGTCTGCTATTTTCTCTCTCGTCTCCACTCATCCTGTACATACTTAGTTTCTACATGAATAAAGCCTTTGAACTCCAGAAACTGTAAATTATATTTTTAATCTAACTCACTAAGCTGCAAGATCTGCCAACACTTCTTACATTTTTAAGTTCATAATGGGCATCAGGTTGGCCTCTGTGAGAACAGGATGCTGGGCTAGATGGGCTCCCATTGGCCTGATCCAACATGTTCTTAAGTTCTTATGGCTAATATTAGCACAAAAGTTGAAATGCAAAAAAAATAAATCAGCTCAGGTCCAATTTGCCTACGAGGTTAGTTGCTTCTCAGTGATCCATCCATGAAGCAGAGCTTCTAGCACTGAAGAAATAGGATTTGTAGGCTGTTGACATGGACATTGTGTGCTAGGAATAGAGACTTGAGTCCATCTGTCCCCAATAACACCACCAGGTACTTTCACTAACCATTTATTTTTTGCATGTGGGGGAAAGGAACCGCTGTGGAATGACTGCTGGGTTGTGGGCGGGGGGTTGGGAGACATTCTGGGCACTCAACAGTCAGGAATTTCCTGGAAGAAAGTAATGCCTGAGAAATAAATAAATAAATAAATAAATAAATAAATAAATATTTGTTTTCTTTTGAATTTTTTGTAGTTTTGGTTTCTTCCTTGTTGTAGTCACCAAACAAATTATTTTTCAAAATTTTGATTCAAGGAATCATATAATTGTAGAGTTGGAGGGGACTACCAAGGGTCATCTAGTCCAACCACCTTCAATGCAGAAATCCCAGCTAAAGAATCTGCAATTGCAAGGATCAGAGCAAATGACCTTTGAAGTCCATTCCAACTCTGCAATTCTAAGTGTTATGTACTGAGTTGAATAGGATCCAAAATGCAGCAGTCTGATTGGTCCTAGAACAATGCAGCAGTATGATTGGTCTGCAGGAGCCACCCAATCCAGCTCCAGGTGGAAGTGAATCCACAACCTGATTGGCCTACAGGAGAATCCCGGAATTAGCCAATCACGTGCAGCCCATTGTGTAAATAATGTATATAAAGCAGATATTTTGGGGAAACTTCCATTCCTCCTCACTAAGAGCTGAATAAAGAGCATGAAATCCACTCTCGACTCTGAGTATATTTCAGGTACCTTCCATCCCCACTATCCTACAGTTCTATGAATTACAACAACAACTCCCCTTCACTGGAGGTTTTTAAAGCAGAGGTTAGGTGGCCATCTTTCAGGGAATATTCAGCTGTGATTCCTGCCCTGCAGGAAGTTGAACTAGTATCCTTTCCAGTTCTACTATTCCATGATTCTATGATCCAGTGAACACTGCCTAGCTGGTGAGAGTGGTTAAGAGTTTTGTCACTGCAAGGCTCTCTGAGGAAGTCATACATTTTGCTCACCTGCACTCCAAACTCTCCCTCTCACTTTGTGGCCTTGAACATGATGCTTTCCTGAAAGGAAGGTGGGCGACCGAGTTGCAAAATAAGCCATCCCATAATGAGATTAGCCCAACAGGAGTCAGGATCCCTATTCCCAAAGGGGAGCGGGGTGGTGGTGTTAGGGCAGAGGCATGGTGGATTTCCACCCCCTGCAAAAGAAGAAGAAGAAAGTAGCATATTTGTTATTGTGAGCAGAGCCCTGACCTTATAAGAAAAGGATTATGTGGGGTTTCCAAGCGGAAATGAGCACTAGGATGTCGGGTGAGTGTGTGTCTGTGTGTGCTCAGCTTAATGAAACCTCAAGTTCAAGGGGTGACTCTGATGGACGTTTTTGGGGGAGGGAAGTGTCTCTTTCTCCTCCATGCATCTGTCCGTGAAGCACCACTGTCCCCTGGCGGGCCTCTTCAGGAACTGCGCCCACTAAAAGAGAAAATAGTGGCTGAGTTCACTTTAATCCTGACACTTAATAGCAATCGGCTTATGCACACTTCCTCTCCTCTGTGTTTTCCAGGCATGGTCCATGATTTAAAGCTCCATGTCCAAACACTCGTTCCCTTGCTCTGGAAATTT